CTGAAGATGACACCAGAGTGGTAAGGTACATCAGAAATGATCAAGGACGGAAGGTTGCATTCTCACTACCTGCCCCAGCAATGGTAGCAGACTACAAACTATACATGGGTGGTGTAGATAGGGCCAACCAGTTAAGATCGTACTACAGTGCCCAGCGTCAGTGCCATAAGTGGTGGAAATATGTATTCTTTTACCTGCTAGACACAGCATTAACCAATGCCCACATAATATATGGTGAATTGGTCAATGAAAAGAAAGCTCACAAATCTTTCCAAGTTGAGGTAGGCACAGCATTGGTTGGTGGTTTTACATCCAGAAAGCAGAGACTGAGTAATGCAGAACCACCCCTTACCACATACAAAAACCACAACTTGATTCGTGGGACAGGCAGAGGTGTGAGCTGCAGATGGTGTATAAAACTGGACAAAAAGACTCCCAGTAATTGTTACATCACCACAGTATTCAAGTGTAGGGAGTGTGGAATTCACCTCTGTAAACCATGTTTCTTGCCATACCATGTAGAAGCTACCCGTGGTGGTAAGGGTAAGACAGTAGAGACCCAAACTGTTAGAGTTGACATAGCTGAGGCAGTCAGACGATGGAATGCTGATCAATCAACCTCTCTACCAAGAACACAGACCACAGTTGTTGCTACAAGGAGGCAAGCTGGTGCTAATCCAAGGGGACCAGCCACTACTACTGTCACAGAAGTATCTACTGCAAATCAACAGGAACAAGCTAGTACCTCAAGCGGACAAGTCAATACTTGCACAGAAAGATCCACTATTAATTCAAAAGAACAAGCTATTACCTCAAGGGGAAGGCCACGGGGAAGGGGACGTGGTCGTGGTAGAGGAAAGAAGACCCAGAAGAAAGGGAGAAAATGACAATAATATAAGAATTTTAGTTAGCGGGTCCCCAGGGGTGGGGGGTTGAAGAGTAAGATCATACATGGTCATTTGCAGACATGTGATTGACCATGCTCATATATTTATATTTTACAGATTAGATCAGAGAAGACAGTTTATACTATACACTATATATATTTAAAGTATCACAGGTGTAAGTCCCCGCAGGTGAGAACTCTGAAGTACCTGCAATTCAGGGATACAATGCCAGAAATAAAAATATTAGTAGCCCAAGTCTGTTACTCCAGTACTAACTGTTTTGGCCCAAGCCTGTTGGGCTTGCATGAATATTTTTTTCGGCGGCCCAAATCCGTCGCACTCTGTCGGGCAAATGCTGGTAAAAAGCTTGGTCGTACAACCTGTTGCAAGTATGACAGACTTGGTAGATATGGGGTAATTGCCATCGGACAAAAGAGGATTTTAAATGGTTTTAATAATTATAAAAAGACATACATACCATCCATATCTGTGAAAACACCACAGTCTCGTGCATTGCAAAACCTAGTGAAGACGTCATCACCAACACACCCATTCATTCTCCAACAAACACGAGATCTTGACTGTATTCCTTTTGAGCAGGACTTTGAACACGGAGTCCACTGTGTCCACATATCATATCCATGCTTGTCCAGCATCTTGCTGACTTCAAAGGGTGTGGATACCGCAGTAAACTGGATCTGATAGTCAAAGCTGAGCTGGCAGTCATCAAAATACAGTACAAAATAAGGACCATCATGTAACATTCTGGCAGAGTCCAGACTGTATTCGGTGCCATAATGAACTGCTATGTTGTCAATTGATACTTGATACAGAAACTGATAGTACCGGTACATTTCATTGGAATTGCTTCTTAAGGCATCCCACATTGGGTCATGAACATTATCATTGTCAAGCCCATGAACAACTGCGTAAATGTATTGAAAAATAGTTACAACGTCTTCATTTTCTTGATTGATATCAATGATTCGAATGAGTGCACTGATGTAGGTCACATTCATGGTAGAACCAGCAGAATCAATAGCTTCTTCTATAGAATAGTAGACATTGACGAACTCATTCAAGTTAAAATCAGCTGCAAATGTAGGTAGATCAAAGAAAACTAAACCA